GATGTAGTTATAAATGCTTTGAAAAGTAAGGAGTTGGATTTAAAAGTGAACAAGAGCAATAAATCTTTTGGTGAGGTGAACTTTGTGAAAGGAAAGCAACAAAATCGTTTTCAGAACAAAAACCCGGCTTTCAATCAAAATGCTCAAAGTTCTTCAAATTTTCAAAACAAGAAAAAGGGCAAGTGGAATGGAAAGTATAATGTGAAACCAAATACTCCCAGGAAGTGTTATAATTGTGGTGATCCAAACCATTTTTCTAATGTGTGCCCTAAACCTAGGAGAGATCAGAAAATTGCTAATGTGAATCAAGTTTCTGATAATATGGGTGATGTTTTTATGCTAAGTGGTATGCATGCTTCTGTGAATTCTGTGTTAGCCTCTCTTAGTGAGAATGAATGGCTTCTTGATTCTGCATGTTCATATCATATGACTCCACGTAGGGAAGTTTTTTCTGACTATGTGCAAATGAAAAACCGTGGTGTTACTTTAGCTGATGGCACTAGAATAGTTGTGAATGGTATAGGAACTGTATGCTTAAAATTTGTTTCGGGCTATGTGTTAACCTTGAAAAACGTGAGGCATGTTCCTACTTTAAGTAATAATTTGATTTCGTGTGCTGTACTTGAAGATGATGGTTTCCGTGGGGATTGGGGTGATGGTTGCATGAATATTATGAAGGGTAGCCGTTATTTGTTTAAAGCTTTGAGAATGGGAAATATGTATGTTTGTTCTGCTGAATCTTCTGCATCTGTGAATGTTGTCCAAAATGATTTATCTGAATTATGGCATAGACGGCTAGGTCACATGAGTAATAAAGGGCTTAGTATATTGCATAAAAATCAGTATTTTGGAAATGATAAAGTGTCTTCTGTGACTATTTGTGATTCATGCATTTTAGGTAAACAAACGCATATTCCATTTCCTGAAAATCCCTCTCCCAATCCATCTAGATGCAAGGAAATCCTAGAATATATTCATGCTGATGTGTGGGGTCCCGCCAGTGTTCCTACACATGGTGGGAACCGTTATTTTCTGTCTATTATTGATGATTATTCTCGTAAAGTGTTTGTTTTCCTGTTAAAGCAAAAATCGGATGTTTTTGATAAATTTAAAACGTGGAAAACGTTGATTGAAAATCAAACCGGTAAACGGATAAAAACACTTAGGACAGATAACGGTACTGAGTTTTGCAACCTAGAATTCGACAATCTGTGTGCTGAATCTGGAATTAGAAGGCATAAATCTGTTGTGCACACCCCACAACAAAATGGTGTGGCCGAACGAATGAACAGAACCCTTCTCGAAAGAGTAAGGGCTATGTTAACTAGTTCTGGACTGCCAAAGTTGTTTTGGGGTGAAGCAATTTTGACTGCTACTTATTTGATTAATCGTTCTCCATCTGTGCCATTAAATGGCGACTTACCTGAATCTGTGTGGTGTGGTAAGAAAGTAGATTTGTCAAACTTGCATGTTTTTGGTTGCGCTGCTTTTGTTCACCATAAAGGTGATAAACTTGAACCCCGTTCCGTGAAATGTGTTTTCTTAGGTTACCCCGATGGGGTTAAGGGGTATAGGCTATGGTTGAAAGGGGAATTTGGTTATAAAACCATAATTAGTAGGGATGTTATTTTTAATGAATCTGAATTTCCTTGTCTTGCTGTCCCTAATGTGGTTATTCCTCAATCTACTCCAAATGAGGTGGAGCAATTGCCTATTAAATCTGATGATGTGAGTGATTCTGAATTATCTGAAAATCTGCAAGATCAAACTGTTGAAACTGATTTGCCTATCGTGGATGATTTATCTGATTATCAACTTGCTAGGGATAGACCTAGACGTGAGCATGTTAGGAAACCTAAACACTTTGATGATTTTCACCTTGCTTCGCATGTTTTTAATGTGTTTGAATCACTTGATGGAAATGAGCCTAAGTCGTATAAAGATGCTTTAAAATCTAATAAATCTACCGAATGGTTAAATGCTATGAATGATGAAATGAACTCGTTGCATGTTAACCATACTTGGGAACTTGTGCCTAAACCTGCTAATTGTTCTGTGGTAGATTGCAAATGGCTGTTTAAGGTCAAAAATGAAGTAGATTCTATTAGGTATAAAGCTAGGCTTGTGGCCAAGGGCTTTACTCAAAAAGAGGGTGTAGACTACACCGAAATTTTTGCCCCTGTTGTTAAATTCACTACTGTGCGTATTATGCTTGCTTTAGTTGCTCATTTTAATTGGGAATTGAAGCAAATGGATGTTAAAACTGCGTTTTTGCATGGTGAATTAGATGAAACGATCTATATGAAACAGCCCGAGGGCTTTATAGATCCTAATAAAGGTGAACATGTGTGTTTGCTTAAAAAGTCTTTGTATGGCTTGAAACAATCTCCTAGGCAATGGAATAAGAAATTTGACTCTTGCATGCTTTCTTTGAATTTTAAACGAAGCGACTTCGATCCTTGCCTTTATTTTATGGAGAATGCTCGTATTCCTATGTTTCTGTTAATTTATGTTGATGATATGCTCCTAATTAGTCCTTGCTTGAAATCCATTGATTATATCAAAAAGTGTCTAAGTGAACAATTTGATATGAAGTATTTAGGAGATGCCAAGAAGATTCTTGGAATTAATATTGATAGGGATCGTAGTAATAACACCTTGTTTCTCAATCAAATTTCTTATGTTGAAAAGATCTTGGAAAAATTCTCAATGAATTCTGCTAAATCTGCTTCTGTGCCATTAGCTGCCCATTTTTTGCTAAGTAAGACTCAGTCTCCTTCTACTGAATCTGAAATGAATGATATGCAATCTGTGCCTTACTCCAATGCAATTGGATCTGTTATGTATCTTATGGTTTGTACTCGGCCTGATATTGCATATGCAGTTAGTTGTTTAAGTAGATATATGTCTAATCCCGGTATGCCGCATTGGGAAGCGCTTAAATGGCTTCTTCGTTATTTGAAAGGTTCATTGAACTTGGGATTAAATTTTTCCAAATCTAATAATGGTGTTGAGTTAATCGGATATGTGGATTCTAATTTTGCTAATGATAGAGATAATAGGAAATCTACTACTTCTTATGTGTTTACTTTGTGTGGCTCTTGCATTAGTTGGAAATCTCAGTTGCAACGTATAGTAGCTTTATCTACTACTGAAGCAGAGTACATAGCTGCAACCGAGGCTATAAAAGAAGCACTTTGGCTTAAAGGTCTTCTTAAGGAAATTGGTTTCTTAAATGGAGAAGTAGTTGTCTATTCAGACAGCCAATCAGGTATTCAACTGTGTAAGAACCCGGTCTTCCACGAGAGAACTAAACACATACAAATTAAGTATCACTTTATTCGTAACATAGTGGATCGTGGTAAAATTAGACTTGAAAAGATCCCATCCGAATTTAATCCTGCTGATATGGGTACTAAGTGCCTACCCATCGAAAAATTCAGATCTTGCTTGAAAAATCTGAATTTTGAGACGAAAGGTTGATCTACTTTATGTATTTCATTTTTTATTGCTTTCGTAGAATAGGTTATTTATTTATGCTAATAAATTATGCACTAACTGTTTTTCCCGTTGAGTGCAGGTACAATAAAAACGGCAATGATGATCACATACATTCCCTGTACCATTTGATCCCAGGTGGAGATTGTTGGAAAAGTTGGGCCCAAATGGTCCATATATTGAGACTGGCCCAACACCTCAATTAATTTCGTGGCCCATTCCTCGGAGGCAGCCCAAACACCAAGCTGGCCCAGCAGCTTAAGTTGTAAGTTAATCTGGACCGTCAATTTTGAGAGGTAATCTCAGCCCTCCATATGACACATAAATACTCCATCTCTCTTCCATTTCTCCTCCATATCAAACCCTAAAAACGGCTGCACCTCTCCCTCTTTCTCTCTCGAATTTTTCTGCAACAACTCACCGCTTCTGCCGCCGAATATGGCGTTGCTAGAATCGGATGCGAAGAAATCGCTAAATTTGTTGTTTTTCGGGTTTATTTATACCCCTCCTTGAGAGACGAGGGAGATACGACGATAGCTAAGTTATACAGCCCCTTTTCTTGTTCAATTTCCCATTTTTCTTCGTGATTTGAGTGGGTTAACAGATCTGTGTGATTTGTGAGAGTTCTTTGTGAGTTCGGTGTTTCTGTGTGAGAACAAGAAAAGAGGGGTCTTCTGTGGGTTTTAGATCTTGGATATTTCCAAGATCGGTTCTGGGTTCGGGTCGAGAAAAGAGTGAGGAGAGATTGAGTGTTTTTGCTGCGTGTTTGGGCTTGTCACCGGAATCGTTGGCTGCCTCATCCGGGATCGGTGTGTAGCTCGTGGGAACTGTGAACTGAGCCGTGGATTCTCCTCAGATCTGATAGATAGATCTTCTGGGTTAGCATAAATAATAAATATATATTGTGTAATCTTTATTATTTCTGCTTTATTCTTAGAATTGCTTGTACTCCCTAACCCCTTATTCCCATAGGATTTAATCTGTAATTTATTACAGTTTATGTTTATTATTTGGTCTGTAATAACTATTGAGTTCAACGGGTACCCAACACATATGCATGTGTGCTTAATGAGAAGTTATTTCACCACATCAATAGTTAATAATTACCTAGTGTATTTCACCAGGTGTAGCATCTCAAAGACCGAGAGAAAAGAACAAGTAAACATCCTACTTGGATGAAACGTCATCGGTACTGTGTGTTTTGGTTGCATGTTGCCCATTTATATGTTATTTGTATTGCACGATGTCCCTTAAAAATATTATTTTTCAACACGTTGCCCCTTTAAAATGTCATTTTTGTTGCATGAAGCCACCAAAAATTGGATTTTGGAGGCAGAGTACAACCGAAATAATATTTGAAAGGAAGGTTATCTGTTTTTTGAATTTTAAAAGGGGAAAATGCGAAAATGAAAAACTTATAGGGAGTGAAGTGATATATACAAAAACTTAGTACGGCCCATGAACAGCCGTAAGTTGAAAGCCCACCAACCTTAGAAACACAACACACCCAATTCAAGTGAGAGAAACAAACGTCTGTGTTTTCTAGAGAGAGAGAGAGAGAGAGAGAATGGGGGTGGAAGCGTCGGGACAATGGTTGGAGAAGGCGTTAATGGAGCTGTGCAAGAAGATAGAGACTGGTATCCAATTGGACGATGAGATCATATCTGGCCTCGTTTCCTACTGTGAAATGGCCCCTCCTCTCGACGCTAAAGAATATCTCGATGTATGTATATATTCATTATTTTTTATTTATTATACCTTTCGATTTCGATTCTGCGCATGTTTGGGATTCGATTGCAATTCGAATTGCAGCATAACTATTTATTTCGTAAAAATCAAAATAGGAATTTTTTAGACAATTTAAAACCCTAATTTCATCCGAGAGTGTAATTTGATGGTGTTTCGTTGAATGAGGTTGTAATTAATGGCTACAAATGCTATTAAAAGTTCGATTCTTGCAAGTGTTGAGTTTACCGAAAGTCGGGGATATTCTCTTTGTTAAATCATACTAAGCTAGAAACAATGCCTTGTTTAACTGTGTTCGAGTGATGTTATTATCAATGCATATCGATTAACGTGATTAACTATATCGATCTGATTTAGCGTTCGAGTGATTTGTTTCTTTTACATTGACTAACTATCTGGAATAAGTTTAGCCCGTTGTAGGCATACGACTTGTCCGCTAATTTGAATTGTTTTATTTTTATCTTGTAAATTGAGCTACTCAACTTTCCCTTGACATACGGCCTTACTAACGATAGGCGATAGTTTATCCTGTAATAAAACTGAAAATTCGGTGATTGATTGCTAGTTTGCATGATTTGACATGAAATCGCTGTCCTGCTGGAGAAAATGCTTTTATAATTTTCAGCATGAGTTATAGCAAGTAGCAACTTTCGTGTTTGCATGATTCTGAATCTGTCTTGCATTTGATCTTGATAGCTTCATTATTTTTCATGGTATTGTAAGAAAAATTATACTTTGTCCCCCACGTATTTTATTTTCGTAACGTAATTGCAGAATATCATCGGTGAAGAAGCCGGAAAAAGCGTAACGGAAGAGTACTTAAAACGGAGAGGCCACTCAAACACCACCACCAACGACACTCCATCTTCATCAAGTTTCCACACCTATGTTAAAAAGCCAAACGAAGGTCCGGTCATGACAACTAGCAAGAAGCCACAAAGAGCATCAAAAGAGTCACCAAATCAAGAAAATCGAAATAAAAACAACGAGAAGAAACAAACGGAACCCAGAAAGAAAAAATCTGGGAAAGTGATTTCTCTTGCAGAGGCAGCAAAAGGGTCAATCGTGTTTCAAAAGGGGAAGCCGTGTACTTGCCAAGCTCGTAGGCACAGATTGATAAGCAACTGTTTGTCTTGCGGTAAGATAGTTTGTGAGCAAGAGGGAGAGGGGCCGTGCAGTTTCTGTGGGGCCCTCGTGCTCAAGGAAGGGAGCACGTACGCTGGTTTGGATGAAGGCGTTGTGCTGGTGACAGACGCGGATGTGGCGGCTGAAGCGTATGCGAAGAGGCTCGTTGATTATGATCGTAATTCAGCTGCTCGTACGACTGTTATTGATGACCAGAGTGATTACTATGAGATTGAATCCAATACATGGCTTTCGGCTGAGGTTTGTCTTCTTGCTCCCTCCGTTTCAAATTAGCTGCCGGATATTTATTAAAGAAAACTAATAAATATTCATGGTCTTAGAAAAACACATATGACATGATTAAATTTCATGATTTTGTGGGAATTAATGTTTGAAATAATTACGAGTGATAAGGGCAAAATTGGACAAAAAAAGGGTTGTTAATGTACTGTTGAAATTCTAAAGTGACAGATAATATGAAACAAAAAAAAATCTTCAAAGAGACATTTAATTTGAAAATGGGGGTGTAATATATTGGGGGTTTATTGCATTCAGCACCCTTTTGTTTCTCACAATTGTTTAAAAAATCTCCACGTTATTTTATTGGAAAAAATCTCACGATTATTCTATTTTTTTTTTTTTTGCAAATCACCCATAAAACTCGTTATTTAGAGTTTGTTGTGCAAGAAAAAAAATATGCAACGTAAGCAGTTTTTTTGCCTATAAAATAACATGGGGATTAGGGAGTTGTTTTAGCAATTCGATGCAACACATGAGTATTAAATGCAATAAACTCTAATATATTTAGTGCTTGTTGGAAATCAATAATTCATTGTGATTATACGTTTGATTTTAATCATAATTTCTTGAAATTTCTCCATGATTTTGCTCTCAGGAGAAAGAACTTCTGAGAAAGAAGAGAGACGAGTTGGAAGAAGCAGAACGGGCCAAGCGAAGTAAAGTAGTTATTTCATTTGATCTTCTTGGCCGCAAGGTAATTACTTGTTAACACGACCTCTTCGTTAATTCTTGAAACTTCATTAATTATTGAGCTCATTATGTATAAATCTACTACATGCAAACATAAAGAAAGAGAAAAACTGAAAAGGGATTTATTTATTTATTTATTTTATTATAATTATTATCTCATTGAGCTCGTTGTTCTGCATTACGAATAAATCATGAAAGTGCTACTTTTGTACATTACAGGTGCTTTTGAATGAAGATGAAGCTTCTGAAGAAATGCAAAACAGAATATTACTAAGACGACCTGAAGAAAGAGAAGAAGTTCGAATTAAACCAAATCCGAATCTTAAAATCCAGCCAATATTCATCGACACAAGTACTAGAAAAAACGTAAAGGACAAAAGCTTAAATAAAGGCTTAAGCAGTGGCTTGTGTTTGGAGATAAGTGGCCGAGTACAGCACGGCACCAAAGAAGTAGATATTTTGTGATGAAATGCCGACTTTTGGAATTTTGATATAGATTGTATGGGGATTGGTATAAAGAAAATTTAACGAACAATACAAAGAAATCTCATCTTTGTTTGGATATATGAATATTTGTTACTGTTATTGTACCATCTTATGATATATTGTATCAAAAATTTAAATACATTTGTTACTCTTGTTGGGATGTTTTCAACTTCAGGAAATTCTAATTGAACTCTTTTAGCTCAATTGAACATTTGTTAATTAATTTTATTGAGTAGATAAAAAATTGAGTGAAATAAGTAACGTGGAGTACTTTGATCATAAATTTCTCACAAAAATTCCGAATCTATTGATATAAAGTTCAATTGAGAAGAACATAAAAATATCTACGATTTTTGTACTTTACAATTTGAATATTAGGTTTGAAACATTGTCTCGTAAGTAGATCTACAACTTTCATGAATTTTTTTCGGTTCGGGGCTTTTAAATTAAACGTGGGTCATAAACAACAAAACAAACATGAGGAGTTTTGATCATAATTTTCTCATGCGAAATTCGATTGTAATGATTCAAATGGAATTTGGAAGAACCCATGTAAAAGATGTAAAATCGCAAAAATAAGATATTTTTTACCGCAACTTTCTCTTTTATTAACTGATTGACTGATTCAGATGAAGGTTTAAAGGTTAGAGTTAGAGCTACAAATTTCGGTGTTTTCAATTTGCGAGATTCGTATTAAATGATGAATCACAATAAAATAAATTAATGTGAGGTCATTTCAAAACAAGTTTGATTGGAATGATTCAAGTTATATTATAAAGTACAAAAACCTTGTGAGTTGGCGAACTTGTCCATGCATTTCACGTGGGAGTTGTATGTGTGCAATTCCGGGAGTAATTTGGCTAAAAGTGGACAATTTCGGCTCCGGTACTACAATTTAGTAAGTTGAGGTATGTTTGTAGAATTTTTTTCTGTTCAAGGGGTAAAGTGAAAAAGCGTTCAAAGTTTAGGGGATTTACTATGTTTACTCTTTTAGAAATGCTAGTGTTTGTTTTATTACATTTGCTAATATAAATTGGTTTTATCTGAAGCATTTTTTTTTTTTTTTGTGATTTTGCATTAATTAAAAAAAACACGATTGTTATAAACAAAAGATACTGAAAATCGCACAAATTACCCCAAAAGATTTTGATAGTCGCACAAATCACCCCAAAACTTGTTGAAAATCGCACAAAATACCCCTAAATGTGCTGAAAATTGCACAAATTACCCCTAAATGTGATGAAAATCGCACAAATCACCCTCAAAACAAATATCGTATCTTATCGTGGCATCGAGCTATATTTAGCAGTATTTGATTACAGTCAATACATATGCCGAGTTGTATCGTTTTCTTAGAAATTGTATCGTGTCACGATACATATCATAGTATACCGCGATATTAACTACACTGATTAAGCCATAAATTAAGAGATAAATGGTAGGCCATTAATTTGAATTCTTTTTTTTCCCCTTTTCATTTCAGGAGAGGTAATTAATAAGAAGAATTACCATAAAAGAAATGGGAAACGGTCACACTTCCAAAAAAAAAAAAAAAAAACAATTAATAATATTAATATATATATATAGGTGTGAAAACATAAACATGGGAGGCAGCACATTATAGGATATTAATTTAAAAGGATATTTTATTGCCGTATTTACAACCCAAACAAATAGCAATCTCCAGTTGTCATTTCCCCCAAACAAGACTCCATTTTTATTTTTATTTTTAACCAAAAAAATATAAAGACTGGATTTTTATTTAAAGGGTCTTTCCATATTCTTGCATTCTTCTTCATTTTTCATTTTTCATTTTTCATTATACAGACAAGACAGTTTCTTCCCATATGGTAGGGTCTTAAAACTTTTCGAACACCCACCCCCCCACCCCCCACCCCCACCCCCGCCCACAAAATCAAGAAAGTGGAAAAGGATAAAAAGTGTACACACACTCACACACACATTGCCACACGCGCGCCCGGCGAAATTCTGTTATCTCCACTGTTTCAATCTGTAAGTATTTTTATGTGTAGAGATCTCTTTCTGCATTTTCAACTCCTTAATTTTTTTTGCTTAATCTCATGCAAAGAGGGTCGATTTTAGGCACTTGGGTCTTTCAATTTAGCGATACTTAGTTGCTTCTTAATTCTCTGTTTTCTGTTCTCTCTCTCTCTCTCTCTCTCTCTCTCTCTCTCTCTCTCTCTCTCTCTGCGTGTGTGTGTGAAAGTGTGTGTGTCTGTGTGAGAGAGAGAGAAGGGGGGTGGGTGGTGGGGGTAGAGAGAGAAGACGTGTCTACATTAATTTTATGACAATCTGTAATTTAACTTCATTATATCTGTAATTTATATATATAGTGTCAATGAGATGAGGATTAATTTCATTGAAACTGCATTTGATTTTTTGTGAAACCAAGCGAAGAGATACAATTAACACGGTAGAACCTCGATAAATTAATACTCGATAAATTAATAACCTCGATTAAATAATAATTACTCTCAGTACCGATTCGGAAACGTGTTAAATTATTAACTTGATAATTTAATAATTCGCTAAATTAATAGAATTTCCCTAGTCCCGACTGTATTAATTCATAGGGGTTTATTATTTTTTTCTTTTGTAATTTATTTATTTTAATTTTAATTTTTTTTTGTGTTTTAATCTAAATTTTGGTTGTTCGGAGTTTTCATGGTGAAAATAGATAGTGCAAGAACAATAATATATAAATATATAGATTAATTCAAGTTGTTGTAGTGTATTAGCAAATGCAGACAATGTACACCGAGTCTTAGGATTTGTATCTGTCCCTAGGTTGTCATTGGAATCTCAGTCAATGAGTTGACTTTTTTTAAATCCAAAGATCTACAAAATGGGGTTTGACATTGAACTCATCAATATAATGATATAAAATGTATAATTGTTGCCTGAATTTTGAATTTTGAGAAATGGTCAAAATTGATAAAGAAAGTCAGCATGTTTGCTACTTCCTTCGAATGTTTATATTTTGTCCCGATTTCATCGATGTTTATATCGGACCTTCGAACGAGCTGTTGCTATAATTCGGTTATTCCTCTGTTTTTTTTTTTTGTTTTGTTTAGTTTAGAGCACACCCTTTTTGACATCTTGAGAGAGAGAGAGAGAGAGAGAGAGAGAGAGAGAGAGAGGGGCAAACCTTCGTAATTATCTATATGTGTTTTATTTGTTTTGTTGTTTTGATTTACGTTATGCTTGTAAAGTAAAATTCTTGTCGAATAATTATAGGTGAGAGAAATATGGCAATAAAAAGATACCGTGGAGACAGAAAAAACCGACGCTCGATTTCCCTATTAATAATAGCCGCCCTCTGCGGTTTCCTCTACCTCCTCGGAGTATGGCAAAAGAGCGGCTCGGGTAAAGGAGACAGCATCGCGCTCGAAGTAATGAACAACGCCGAAAACTGCAACATTCTCTCGCACCTGCAAATCAAGATCCATCAATCCAACGTCTTCTACAATTTCCAACCCCAATTTTTCGAGCCGTGCGAAGACAAATACGTAGACTACACGCCATGTCACGGTCAAAAAATACGAGGAGTTGTTCAATTTCCTAGAGAGAGAAACTGCCCGCGTGGCGAATACAAGCTGCGCTGCCTTGTACCTCCGCCGAAAGGTTACGTCGAGCCTTTTCGGTGGCCGAAGAGCCGTAGCTTTGTGCCTTACGTCAACGCGCCCTATCGGAGCTTGACAGCTGGCAAAACGGGGGAGAATGATGTTAGAAAAGAAGGGAGTGTTTTTATATTCCCGAGTGGCGGGGCCCAGTCGTCGTATATCGAAGAACTTGCTTCTGTGATCCCCATGGACAATGGAACTGTTAGAACTGCACTCGATATCGGTTGTGGGGTAGGGTCAATTTTGTAATTTCGTTACTTATTTCTTTTTTAACTACGTACTAATTAATTTAGTGCTAACGTGTTTTTTTTTTTGAAGGTGGCGAATTGGGGAGCGTATATGTTTGAAAAGAATGTTATTACAATGTCGTTTGCTCCGCGTAATTCAAATGAAGCACATGTTAAATTTGCTCTCGAGAGGGGCGTTCCCGCAATTATCGGTGTTCTTGGAACTATAAAGCTGCCTTATCCTTCGAGTGCATTTGACATAGCGCATTGTTCTCATTGTTCGATACAATGGGGTGAAAATTGTAAGTAATTTACCTATACGTATATATGTATATATGTATATCTATTTCTATTTTTTAATATTTTTCGACACCGGTATAATTCATTTTATTTTTGCACAGATGGAATGTACATGATGGAAGTTGATAGAGTGCTTAGGCCAGGTGGCTACTGGATAATATCGGGTCCCACAATAAACCGGAGGGGTAATTATCACACGTGGAGGCGCCCACGGGATAAAATTGAAATGGAACATGAAAAAATCGAGGAAATAGCGAAAAATCTTTGCTGGGAGAAGAAATACGAAAAGGGCAATATCTCTATATGGCGAAAACGAATTAATAACAAAAGCTGCACCAAACGAAATAACCGTGCCATTATATGCAACTCCTCCTATACACGTAATATCTGGTATACCAAAATAATTATATATATATACATGTATATTCTTTTTTCGTCTTTTTTCTAGCTATATATATATATTTTATTTTATTTTAATATTTATTTTCTGATATAAGGTACAAGAAAATGGAAGCGTGTGTAACTCCGGACGAAGTTTCGGGAGGGGAGGTGAAGCCGTTTCCGGAGAGGCTTAATGCGGTTCCTCCGAGGGTATCGGGAGGGAATATTCCGGGGGTTTCTGCGGATGCGTTCGAGGAAGATTCTAGAAAGTGGCGGAAGAATGTCAATACGTATAAGACTGTCAACAAGATTGTTTCTTCCGGAAGGTACCGGAACATTATGGATATGAATGCCGGCCTCGGAAGTTTTGCTGCAGCGCTCGAGTCCCCTAATTTGTGGGTGATGAATGTTGTTCCGACTATAGCCGAAAAGGATACGCTCGGTGCTATATACGAACGAGG